TTAAAGGTTTAAAGTAAAAGGTTTAAAGTAAAAGGACTGAAAAAGATATTCCATGCAAACAGTAACCAAAAGAGAGCAGAAGTGGCTACACTAATACCAGACAAAATAGATAAGCTCACTTCTGAACCATATGACATAAACCCACATTTTTTCTTCTTTCTCACATTTTCTTTCTTTCTGGTGTAACAAGACTCTCTAACCTCTTCCCAAACCCAGTTTTTCCCAGTCCTGGAACCGGTCATTTCTCTAAGGAGTTTTGGTACATTTTAGTGGGGAAGGATATTGAGGGTCAAGATCTAGGCTCACAGTGTGTTCTTTGCTACTGGGGTATATTTGATTTTTGTGGACAGGGCAAGTGAATACACACACACACACACACACACACACACACACGAACACAAGGGATACACACATGCATATAAATATGCATATATACATGTATATATATACACACACACGTATTTTAGAAATCACAAGATCACACCAATAACTCCAACTACAATCCATCTCTGCAGGTTTTCTCTTGCTTTTCCCCATTCCACATTTGAATGCTTCTTTCCATGGTAAGAACCTGGTTTCAAACAACAATGCTAATTTCACTCATTTTTCTCAATCCCCTATCACATTTAAAACTTTTAGAACCACACTAAAATAATTTAGGATTTGTTTGGCATTCTCCCCTTCCCTTAATCTAAGACTGAAGGAATATAGTTAAATGTTATGTTCCTAAGTTTTCTTTTTTTCCCTCCAGTATGCTTATAGTATTGATTCAAAATACAGTTGGGTTCATTTGTTTTAGTTTGCTTTCAATTTTAGATTCCCCCTTTTCCCATCCTTACTATTTTCTTTCTTAAATATGTAGAACACTAGCATGCTTTCAAAGGTCAAACTTACACAAAAACGTATACTAAGAAAAGGGTCACTTCCTCCCAGGTCCCTTTGCCCCTCTCTCCCTCCACATTTTGCTCTCCCTCCATTCTTTGTAGATAACAAACTTTATTGTTTCTTAGCATATCATTACTGTGTTTCTTTTTATAAAGTATATATAATGCATGTTTTTTTATCTTCCTTTCTTCTTTACATAACAGGTAGCATTCTCTAAGTGTTCTTTCCAACTGATAGGCACATTTTTTTTTTAAAGTTCTTTGCCCAAAGTGGGGCTTGAATTCAACCCCAAGAGCAAGAGTCACATACTCTACTAGGCCAGCCAGGCACCCCATAAGCACTTTTTTTTAAGCTTTTATTTATTTATTTGACACACAGAGAGAACGAGAAAGAGAGCACAAGCAGGGGGAAGGGCAGAGGGAGAGGGAGAAGCAGGCTCCCTGGAGCAGGGAGCCCAACATGGGGCCCGATCCCAGGACCCAGGTATCATGTCCTGAGCTGAAAGCAGACACTTAACTAACTGAGCCACTCAGGTGCCCTTTTATAAGCACTTTTTAAATAATTTTATAGACCTCCTTTTGGGGAGAGAATGTGCTAACTCTGCTGTTGAGCACACGGATCAGTGGCACTGAAGAAATTTACATTCTTTGTTAATTAGTCTCTTACAAGTTTGGGTGCTTTAAGACTAAACTTCCAGTTTGGGGTAGGGGGTCTGAAGAGAATCCACCTCTGGCCCTGCAGGGCTGGGGACCGGCTTCCTAAAATGTGACAACCACACTAAGCCACTGTTACCTCGTGCGGCCCTGTCCAGGCTGCCTGCTTGTATTTCTAAGTACAAATTCTTCCATCCCTGACTAACTTTATCATTAACAATTTCCATTCTTAGGCCTGGCTAGTTCAGTCAGTAGAGCACGCAACTCTTAATCTTCTGGTCGTGAGTTCAAGCCCTGTGTTGAACGTGAAGCCTGGTTAAAATGGAAACAAACAAACAAAACAAAAAAAAATAACTTCCATTCTCTATAACTCTTAAGATAAATATATTGTTTTGTTATATAAAGATTTTTGTTAACATGTTAAACAAAACTATTAATGGAACAGACATTCAACAGGTGTTTAGTATTAAATAGTATTTTCTTAAATAATAGAACAGGGGACCAGCTTTCTATTTCTGTAGAAAGTCTTTCTGTTGGCGTCTCAGTCAGTTAAGCATCTGCTACAAATCATCTACATCCTTTTTACTTCAATCACCTTGAAATACCACATGAAATGATCAATGTTCATGGTGATGACAGGTTCAGAATGAAGAAATAAACTTAAGGCAATGTACTTTTAAAGAATGATTTCTTTCATGTAGTCTAAAAATACCTTGGTACTTTCTGCAACTCCTAACTATGTCTGAACTCTGACTCATATACCAGTCCCATGAGACAATGAGCAACAGAAACTGGTTTTATTAGGTCTGATCAGCTCTGCCTATCTGACAAAATGACGCTTTTATTTCAGAAAGACTGAACACCAGACACAATTTGGTGACTTAAAAAAAGCAAGGCCACTCTTGTGAAATCACACGAAGCACAACCACTGGCCTTTCTAGACAATTCTCCATTTGCGTGCATTTCCACTACACTTACAGCATATAGCTCTGGGGATTAAATGCCTCAAACCCATCTCTTTTATCATCTGTGTCCCCTGACTAAAACAGTAAGCTCTCTGACAATGGGATTTTTATCCATTTTATCACTAAATCCTAGGTGCCGAGAAAAGTATGTGGCATATAGGAGACCCTAACAATACACCTGTTGAATGGATGACTGGGAAAAAAACCAGTAAGCCACCAAGCTGAATAGTCCTGGTAAGTGAAATTAAATTTAAACTTGTCAAGTCAAGCGATGCCTGTGTGGCTCAGCTGGTTAAGCATCTGCCTTTGGCTCAGGTCATGATCCCAGGGTTCTGGGATCGAGGCCCACATTGGGCTCTTTGCTCAGCAGGGAGCCTGCTGCTCCCTCAGCGTGCTGCTCCCTCTGCTTTTGCTCGATGACAAATAAGTAAATATATTCTTTAAAAAATAATAAAACTTGTCAAGCCAAAAATCCAATGACAGACTGTCCATACTGAGTTCAAAGGAACACAATGAATAAGTGGACTATATAATACCTCCTTCGAACAAATCATCTACTCAGTGCTTTACAGTTTATAGTCACATTCCCATACGTCCCTTCATGTGATCCTCCTTATTCTCGAAATAATCTCTCAATGAGATCAGAGGCAGCAGTGTGTTTACAGTGCTAAATTAGGACCAATGACCAGTAGCAGTATTTTGAAGGTTGGGTAGATGGCTTCAACATGAAGGCACGCTTCTAGGAAAGGCGCCTGGATGGCTCAGTTAGTTAAGTGACCGACTCTTGATTTCCACTCAGGTCAAGATCTCAGGGTCGTGAGATGGATCCCTGTGTTGGGCTCTGCGCACTCAGCACAGAGTCTGCTTAAGATTTTCTTTCCCCCCTCCCTCTGTCCCTCTGTCCCCAAGCGCATGCTCTCTCTAAATAAATAAATAAAATCTAAAAAAAAAAAAAAAAAAAAAGACCTCCCAGTTCTAAATAATTGTCATTCTGGGGGCACCTGGGTGGCTCAGTTATTTAGTGTCTGCCTTTGGCTCAGGTCATGATCCTGGGATCCTGAGATCAAGCCTCGAGTCAGGTTCCCTGCTTGGCGGGAGGCCTGCTTCTCCCACTCCAACTCCCCTTTCACTGTGTCTCTCTCTGTCAAATGGGTAAAGTATTTAAAAATAAATAAACAAACAAATAAACGTCATTCTGTAGTGATCTCATCCTGCATGTCGTATTTGAGGGGGAATCCTCATGGCTTGGGGCTTATAACACTAGCATTATATGAAAGTCCTGATGTCACATCAGATCATGTCACCCCCTTGATTTGAGGCAGGGGAGATTCCACCTAGTTTGGAATAAAATCTTTACTATGGAGCGCCTGAGTAGCTCAGTTGGTTGAGCATCAGTTTCAGCACAGGTCATCACCTCAGAGTCCTGGGGTCAGCCCTGCATCAAGCTCTGTACTCAGTGGGGAGTCTGCTTGGGACTCTCTCTCTCCCTCTGCCCCTCCCTTGTTTGAGCTCTTACTCATACACACACGCTCTCTTTGCTAAAATGAATAAATCTTAAAAAAAAAAATCTTTACTGTGTCCAAGACTCCTTATTACCTACCTGGTCCTTGCCTATTTCTTTAATTTTCTATGTTCCCCCCCCCTTTTTTTTTTTAAGTATTTTCCAGTCAAATGAGTCTATTCTCATACCTAAATAAGCCAGAGTATATGTCAGGGTATTTACACATGTTATTCTGTCAGCTTGGAACATGCTTGTCTCAGACCTTCTCACTGCTAGCTTCTTCAAGTTTTGGTTCAAAACTACCTCCTTAGAGTAAAGGGTTATGCTTGACCCTATATACAAAAGAACGCCCACATTCCCTAACATACACACTTTATTATCTTAATTTTTCTCATAAAATTTATCATTATATAAAAAGTTTTATGTATTTTGTTACCTAACTGTTATAAAGAATAAAAGTTCCACCAGAACTTGAAATCTTGGCCTTGTTCACAGCCATATCCCCAGTTTCCAAAAGAGGGGCATATAGTAAGTACTCAATAAATATGTCCTAAAAGAACAAAAATCTGGCCTATCCCTAACTCAGTTATGAAAAATAAATCTAGGATACTTAGTTTGGACTGCTTTGTTTGAGGCTACTAATAGCAATTCCTAGAATGGTTCTTTCCAACAGCTCCTCTACTGTACACCTACCAGGAGTGTTCCAATGTTTCTGACAGCAGGTAATTTAATACAACTGAAAGAGCAAAATAATCAAGGAACTAAAAAATCTATCCTATTAATCCACTTGATATCAATTGAAAGTTAAATTTGTACATTGCACTGAGTATATCAGTATCTGAAATTTTGACAGAATACGAATGCTGAGGAACAACTTTATCATTGTCTAAAATGCATAATGGGATTTATAGTCTCATAAGTTCAGAATTTAGAAAACATGAGTTTAAATTATATAAGCAAGCACTTATTACACAAACAGTTAAAAGAAAAACATACCTCCTAAAGCCCCACTGTGGTCTAGACTTTTTTTTTTAAAGCCATTAGCGACGATCAAAACAGGAACAACAACAGAAAACAGCCAACGCCAAGGAGAAACAGGCTGTAAATTACCTAAAAAATTAAATTTACAGGTAAGTCTTGGCTATAAGCTTTGATAACTGCATTCTGGATTAAAATACTATCATAAGCAGAGAAACCGAGATGAAGTCACCAAAGTAAAATATGTTAAGATTTGTGTATTTCCAGAGAGACAGTTATTTTGGGAAATTACCAAGTAAGTACTAAGTTTTGGTACTTCATACATATTTGGAGATTTGAAATATATATCTTGTTCCCCACTGTTTTGAAAAGGAGGCATGTATTAAATCTCAAGGATTGTACAGAGCATGGGGCGCCTGGGTGGCTCAGTTGTTAAGTGTCTACCTTTGGGGTTGTGATCCCAGGGTCCTGGGATTGAGCCCCACATCAGGCTCCCTGCTTCCACTTCCCCTGCTTGTGTTCCCCGTCTCACTAGGTCTTTGTCAAATAAATAAAATCTTAAAAAAAAAAAAAAAAGAATTGTACAGAACAAACTACTTTCTTAGCAGGATTCAATTATTCCTCTTTCTGCTTTTTAGAGAGATTTATTTTTTAAAGTAACATTCTTACAGGCTACACACCTCTATTCAACAATTAGCAACTGATTTTTCCAAAGGTCGCATTCACCTCACAGATGTTTTTGTTTGTTTGTTTGGCTAGCATAATGCTTTCAAAGAGTTGGGAGTCAATATTTAAAGATTAGGAGATTTCATATAAAAACCCAGAACCTTGGCTTCTGTTTTAAAAACTGGATGCTCAGGCCCACATGGCAGAATTGACCACAGTGGAGAGAGACCACCTTCTTTAGACAGGTCAGAGCTTTCTCGTTTAAAATCCCCACAGTTCCTAACAGACTCCTACACACCAAGACTAAGTTAAGTACAGTGACGAAAAATGTGAACTATTGCTATGGCCCACATTTCTATCAAAAATGGGAAAATGGAAGGCAAAGCAGGCCAAATGTTCAAAAACAAAAATTCTACTTCTGAAAATGAACAAAATTCTTGTGTGTTTAAGATGCAAAATCAGGTGCCTGGTTCCAGAGGGACACTTTGGTTTATAAATCCAGGTTTATTCCATTGAGTTCAAGTCAGACTTAATAATAGCACAAACAAACAAAAAATAATAGCACAAACGAGAATTTCCTCTCATACCTCTTCTCTTCAAACCCTCACGCTCTACTGTGAATCATTATGAATGAATAAGTCTGAAAGCCTCTGAACCTGAACACCACTCATTCGATTATTCACATGTCTCTGAAAAAGGCTAAGGTCTGAAACGGCAATCCCTTTCTCACTCTCACTTTTTCCTCTCAGCTGAACAGAATTCCATTTTTATAGGAGTACCAAGGAAATTTCTGTAAAGGCATACTTAAACTCTAAGGAGTATTCAAAACTGTCTAGGCTTGAGTCCAGAATATCTTATAAAGTGGGGCTTCAGATTTTAAAAAGATGTCTGTTCTTTTGAAGTGACCAAAGACCAGACAAATCCTCCAAAACTCCAAATGTAAACATTATACCACCTTTTATTTTTATTGCTATTTTTACAGGATATTTAAAACTGATAAACTACTTACATTCTTACTAAAAGCATCACTGCAATTGGTTTACAAAACTGTATTTCATTTCACTTATTTCTCATGTAGATGTAATAACTACACACAACGTAGAAATGTATTTTGAAATGTTTAACCAGTATTATCAGAAGCAGCCTTTATTAAAGGTTTTTAAATCTTCAAAGCAGTGTTTATATTTTAATGTTGGTAAATTAAATTCAGGCTGTGGAAGTTAGGAAAACATAATTTATAACCACTCATAAGACACAAGTTTTGGATTTCATTAATGATACAATGTTCAATTCCACCAATTAGATTAGAGGAAAACAACTCAGAACATTCATACTTACCATAATAGGTGCTTGCAGTCATAGACATAATCCAGAAAGCTAAAGAAATGCAAATGATCAGGCTCAATATAACTATATTGGTTATCATCTTTATATACTTTTTGCAAATATTGTCGTCAGGACCTGTCATGGAAAATAACAACATGAGCCCTTGAGGGACAGAATAGTGTTTCTAGGGAAAAATAAGTCGTTTAAGTTGCCAGTAAAAATTTCCCAGAGGCAAACATAAATGCCAACATCTTCCACCGACCGCAAAAATAACATAAATCCTAACTATTTCTGGAAACCGCGGCTGACGGATAGTTCAAACTCCTGTGAGCGATGTTAAGGTCTCACTGGAAAAGCAAAGCTCATTCCTTCCGAGCGCTGGGTCCTACACCCACGGTCACTTCACACCTGAGCTCCGCTGCCAGGAAGGCGAAAGGAAAGCGGAATCAGCCAATCGCCGGAGCTGGGATAGCGGGCTCCGCCTCCACCACACGCCCACGCGCTGACGCGGGGTCGAGGGTGGGGGGTGGGGGTGGAGGCGGGGCGTCGGTCGCACAGAGACAAGGCGCGCAGCCAGAACCAGGGTAGGTTCCGAGGGTGAGCCCTGGGCGGTGGGGTGCGGTCCCGTCGCAACAGCCGCGGGAACCGCCCCAAAGTTCAGGTCCACACCCCCAGGCCGAGAACCCTGAAGCTCACCTACACGCCGAATCGCGTCTCCGCTTCCTGCGCGCATGCGCTGTCGCCATCTAAGGGCGTGGCTTCACTCACGTGAGCATTTAAAAGGCGGCTCCAAGGACTGCGGCTTAGCAGAAGCACCCAAGGGCTCCAGGGTTTGAAGTTCTCCTCTGAATAGTGACCTGGAGTCTTAGAATCTTGCATTTGAGAACATACTCAGACAGGGAAGATTGAAACTACCACTAGGGTAGGAATAGAAAACAGGAGTGCAAGTGAATTTAAACCCAGTAAGTCCATTTCAACCGTAATTGAATGCTTTTTCATCTATAAAAAGTTCATGCCATATAATAATATGGTTTTAAAAGATTTATTGATTTGTTTTAGAGAGAGAGCACAGTGGAGGGAGGGACAGAGAGAACCTCAAGCAGACTCCCTGATGAGCCCGGAGCTTGCTCTAAGGATCCTGAGATCATGACCTGGGCTGAAACCAAGAGTCAGAGGCTTAACCCACTGAGCCACCCAGGGGCACCTAATATTATGGATTTTTTTTTTTTTTTTTTTTTTAAGGGGAAAGGGGATATATTGTTTTGGAGGAGCAATTTCATGACTGAGAACATTATTTAAAATGACACTGTTTAGCACATTATAGGTGCTAAATATAGGGACACTGCTGGTTGCTGGAGATGTAAAGATAAAGTGGGGCATAGTTCCTACTATTGAGCTCAAATTTATTGTCGTGACACCACTTACATTGTGGAACTCTGTTCCTACACCTCTCATTTTAAGTGTGTGCCTTCAGTCAATTCATTTAGAAAACAGAATGTCTTGTTAACATCAAGTTTGAACCTTGTGGCTTATGTCGCATTTGAAATTAACTTGTGTGCCTGGGTTAAAATTAAGTGATAATTATGACATATCTGAATTTTTTCATTCGATTGCTGACAATGTAAGAGGAGGAGGCAAATGAGTTTCAGGTGTAGTACCCAAATGTTTTTTAATCCAGAGTACTTTTTCTTTGAAAAGTAGTTTTTGTTTGTTTGTTTGTTTTTTAACTACTGAGTACTTTTTAAAAACACACAATTCTAAATTTAAGTAACATGCCAAGACAACTTAACATCCTTTTCTTTGGTAAGAAATCTAATTAACTGTGAAGTGGGATTAAATAGTAGTGTCCATCTTATTTGACTACATTTATATATGGTCTTCCTGAAGAAATTATGTGCTCACTTTATTTTTGTCTCATTCTGCTTGGTACAGATAAATAATTGAATTACCTCAGCAAGTTGACTGGCCAATATCAGTCACACCAGATAATTGGGTAGGGTTAATGTCACTTCAGTATGCTAAGGGAAGTGTCATAGAAAGAGGGATTGTCAGGGCTAAGACATGAAAGATGACAAATTTAAGTGACCAAGCTGAGGGAAGGGCACTTGTAGTTGGTTAAGGAGAGCATGAAAATAGGAAGTCCAAGAGAATGGAGAAGAGTTAGAGATAAGGTTTGAAATATTGTATCTAAACAAGCTGAAAGTTCACCTAAGAGATAGGCACATACCTGCTTTCTTTTTTCTTTTTTTTTTAAGGATTTTATCCATTCATTTATGAGAGTGAGCAAGCACGAGTTGAGAATAGGGGCAGGAGAGAGAAGCAGACTCTCTACTGAGCAGGAAATCCAACTCAGGGCTCAACCTCAGGACCTTAAGATCATGACCAGACCTGAAGGCAGTTGCTTAACTAACAGAGCCATCCAGGCATCCTACATACCTTTCTTGATATTAAACTCAAAAGTTTTTCTTTTTCAACCTTTGGAGCACAAGTTTTAAAAGCCTAGGCAGCAATCTGAAGACTGATTTCTTATATTAGATTTGACTCATTGTAAAGGACATTAGGAAGAGTGTAGGGAGCAGGAGTAAACAAATGGAATATTTCCTTCCAGTAGTCTTGAGGACAGAGACCTTGTTTGGTTCATCCTAGTTTGCTCATTGTCTTTTAGTGAATATTAATATAGTATTTTTTGAATTAAAGTGTCAAATTAAAAAATGAATGTAAAAAAAATCACATCTTATGGGGCACCTGGGTAGCTCAGTTGTTAAGGGTCTGCCTTTGGCTCGGGTCATGATCCGAGTCCTAGGCTTGAGCCCTGCGTCGAGCTCCCTGCTCAGCCAGGAGCCTGCTCCTCCCTCTCCCTCTACTGCTCCCCCTGCTTGTGCTCTGTCAAATAAAGTCTTAAAGAAAAATAAAACTAAAAAAATCACATCTTATTTCCTGTTTTGTTATTAAAATCATGCTTTGGTAATTGTATTTACAAATAAATCTTTGTGTGAGCCTCTGAATTATTGTTGGGAGAGACAGAATTTTTATAGCCCTTTGTATATCTGGTTTAGATTGCATAACCAGTATGAAACAGTGCAGTGGCACAGGGTGGCTCAGTTAGTTAGTTGTCCAACTCTTGATTTCGGTTCAGGTCATGATCTCCAGGTCCTCTGCGCTCATTGTGTTGGGCTCTGTGCTCCGTGCTTGGCCTTCTCCCTCTGCTCTCACACTCCCACCCTGGCTCATGCTCTTGTGCTCTCTCTCCCAAATAAATAAATAAAATCTTAAAAAAGAACAGCAAAAGCAACAACAACAAAAAAAACCCCCCGAAAAAACCACTGCAAATAAACTATAATGCATGCTTAGATATAACTTGAGCCATGAAAATAAAAATGATAATTCTTCTTCTAGTTTTTACATAATCCCTATTCTGTTTACAGTTTGCTTCAATTTAGGGTAAAGGATTTTTACAGAAATATTTTAGTGGGTCCATGTAAGGGAAAGACTTCCACAGAGCTATTCATGTGTATTTTGTTAAAAAAAAAAAAAAGTCATGACAGTAATTTCCTTATAAAAAATTTTTAATAACATTCTCAGAATACAATAGTAATTGTTTAATATACATTATAAAATCATTAATTTTAGGAAGTTTTCAACTGTCTAAATACCTACAGAATCCCATATTCAGGCATAAAGATGAACTATTTTCTCTATTACACCAAAATTAAAATTTACCCGTATTCTAACATTGAGAACTGAGATAATATACCAACATTATAAAATCTACCTAGAAAAGATCTACAGTGATTTCATAGATGATCTTAACTACATATATAAATTTTTTTATTTTAGTTTTTTGAGACACACGACTTGTCCTACTTTAGTAACATGATTCATATGTTGGATGGGAGTTATAATGTGGAGGGCAAAGCAGAGGATTTGAAGGCTGGAGACCATTGCTCAATCTAGGATTGCACCTCCTAGATTGCTGGCACTTCTATCCTTTGTGCCGCTTGGCACATTTTAAACATCTAAATAAATAAATAACATTAACAAGGATTTCTTCATTTGTAAATTGGAGATAATGCTACTTACCGCACAGAATATTTGTAAAGAATAAGACATCAAATGGATGCCGTAGTGATTTGTTGACCTTGAGACTCTGAACTAAATTATTTGTAAAGATCTTTTAGCAAAGTTTGTTATTTTATAAAAATATCAAATGTCAAATAAACTTGAGTACTTGGCTGATACAGTAGTTTATTTAGTTGTATTTTCCTGTTAAAATGATACCATTAACAACTAATTTGTTCAATGTTCGTTTTCAAGGAGAAAAATGTCTTACAACTCATTAAAAGAACACTGTATATAATTCAGGTCAATTCAGATATCCTTCTGTCTCCTTTGGTAAGTCATAAGAAGAAATCAGTTTTGTTTCAAGGGAAAAGTTTTTTGGAAAAAGGTCTGAAGTTTATATGCTTTTAAAATTCCAATTCAACAGCATTTACCAAAGCACTTCACATAGATTTCTTTAATAGCATTTATCATATTGTATTACAAATATATATATTTTTCTCTCAGAAGACTTTTGAGGAACTTAAGGGCAGATAATCATGTCATCTTTGAATCAAGTCATTAGCCCTTGGCTGGTTCTTCATAGAGGTTAGCGCCTAGCAGGCATAGAATGAATAACATATAAAATGAACAGAGGATATGTGTTGGGTCCAGCAGAAGAAAAAGAGCTGCTTTATTTTTATGGTAGGTGGTCAAACTGATAAGTTTATCAGTAACAGAAAACAGGATTTAAAAAGACTTAGGTTTTTCTCTATGAATGAGACTAGTTTTAAGGTAGACAGATGTATGTTTGTTAATGAAATAATTTGATTCAGGGAGAATTTGGAGCATGTTATCAGGACGGTAACATGAAAATGACATGGAGAAAACACCAAAAAAATGTACTTTAACATTACTGAGTGGTAGTTTATTCAGTAGTCTCAAATAACAATGAAGTCTAGTTAACTTTGCTAAAAGCTTGTATTTTATGTCTTATTTTTGTGATTTTTAAAATGTTATATTAAGATATCAAGATACTATTGTAGATGGGAACAAGCCTGCATTAATTAGTATTTTGTTTTATATAGGGTAGGGGTGATGAACCACATGAGAATTTATACTTGGAAAACACAGTTTAGGTTTAGACGATTATTTGCTCAGCTTATTTTGAGGTATAAAAGCTATGGTCAGTAAGTGAAGAGATATTTGAAACCATATTAGAAAAAAAAGACAGAATGACAATTTCAAGGAGCTATGTCCAATATTTGAGAAAAAATGACTAAGAAGGTTTATAATACTCACAAGAGGATTTTCATAAATATTTGTTTAAAGTGCCCCAGGATAACCACACAGACTTTTCTTACCTTTGCCTTTGTGAAATCTAGTTGCTTGGGAGGCATTTGTTATTAAAAGAAAGGGTGCTGGGGCACCTGGGTGGCTCAGTGGGTTGAGCCTCTGCCTTTGGCTCGGTCATGATCTCAGGGTCCTGGGATTGAGCCCCACATGGGGCTCTCTGCTCAGTGGGGAGCCTGCTTCCCACCCTCTCTCTGCCTACTTGTGATCTCTCTCTCTCTCTGTCAAATAAATAGGTGAAATCTTAAAAAAGAAAGAAAGAAAGAAAGAAAGGAAGGTTGGTTGCTAATATTGTAAAAAGACTACTGCTAAGCTCGAAGCAAATGTCACCAAAAACAAAACAAAACAAACACAACCCAATCCCCCCCAATTCTTTATAAAATAAAATGACCATTACCTTAAAGGAAAAAATTTCTAACAATTTTGGTTCAGCATATACATGCTGCTTTCATATGGTAATGTCAGAAGCTTGAACTAAGACTGAATAACTTGGTTACGCATTAATAAGTTTAATGTGATTTGCCCAAAGCTATTTAAAGGAAAGGATTCTTACTAAAATTAAAAATTTATCTGGTGAAATAACGTGAACTCTTTAATTAGTTCAAGTGGCAACTATCATAGTTCTCATATTCTATTTTGTAAAATAATTAGCATTTTCATAGTGTTATCAGACACATGTATTTTTATAGAAAATACATTTCCCTTCCCTTATAAGACACAGTTGCTCTATTTGACTTGTTAAAAAGGGAGATAAAAACAAGCTGATAGGTACAATAAATTGATCCCATTTTAAGTTATAAATTGTGAAGATAAAATATGGTAAGTGCTTTTCTGTTATAAAATCCTAATGTGGACTTTTGGGGTTAAAAAAAAGCTTACGAGTTTTGGTATGTATATTGATACATACAATATTAGTGGGGGTAGAGGAGGTATTCCTAACATGGAACTTTGCATCATATTGCCTAATTAGTGGACCAATTTTAGAATTGAAAATGTAGAATTTTTATTATGAGAAAAAAGTAATATAAATATATCTTTTTGTTTAACTAAGGTAAAAGCTAGATCACAATGTCTACATTATTTTACAACATACAACTGGCTATCAGTTTTTCTAGTCTCAGTTACTTGAGGCCTTACTTTGCCTCAAAGTAACTCAAAGATGACTCAAGAGCACTTCACATTCAAAATATTATTTTCAAAATATTTTATAATCTATTTTAAAAGCTAATATTTTTATGAAGGAGGCCATGACTTTTGTCACTTTTGTTAGTGAGCAGACACAGAAAGTTTAAATAACAGAATTTTTCTTGTACCTCAGACTTTTTCCTTATAAAATTTCCAAATCACAGTGCCAGTAATAGTTCAATTAATACAAAACCCAGCAGTTTTAAAGTCATATTTAATGTTGGTTAATTCTTATTTACCATCCTATTTAGAATGTAATATCCCAACATTGATACAGGAAAAAAATTTTTCTTTCTAATAGAAATTAAACATATTGTCGTAGACAGTTCTTTAAAAGTAGTTTTAAAAGACAAAAACACAAAACACCTTGTAAACATACAATTTCCTAGCAAAATTTTTAAGTACATAATTCTCATGTAAGGCACTTCCATTCTTTTTCAAATATATGTTTCATAAAAAGTTTCCATTTTTTTTATAATCAAGTCTTCATAAATTATACAGTAAGAATGGTACTTCAAGTAAAACTTTATTAAATACCCAATTTTGGCATAATTTCCTTAAATGTTTTTACCTTTGAATAGAATGAAGGATGGGCATCAAGTTCTTTGTGAGCTACTCTTAAAGGAATGTTTTATAGAATTGGTAATGTTTTATCTTGTTGATCAGGTTCAAGAATCTTGAAATCCTCCAAAGGAAGACTGCTTAAGGCAGTTGGTAAAATGTGTTCTGATGTGCCCTTAGGTAATATGTTATTTGCTTCCAGATTCTTCACCAAGCATGTGGCTTTGATCCATCTTCGTGTTGCTCTGCGTTCTTTTTGTAAGCAAGTTTTCATTTTCTTTCTTAAACTTGCTATTTCTTTCTCCAGTTTAATTATCCTCTTTTTTGCCTCCATAGGATTCCTAAAAGCATAACTGTGTTCAAGTAGTACTTGCTGACTACTAATGTTTGATTTTAAATTAGATGGTCCTGTTGGGGTACAACTGTTGTTTTTCTTCAAAAGATTCCTTGACTTGAGTTTCTAAGCCAAATAAAATCAGAGAGTCGAACATGAATTATGGAATATCACAAATGAGTAAATTTTGTCCAGTTTTTTATAAAAGTAATTAAACTGTTTTTTTAAAACCTGATTTTAAAAGTTTTTTAGGAAACATCAGCTGCCCATCTCATGTAGTCGTGGATTCAAGTTCCTCAACTTGTTGCAGTAGCTCCTGCCACCTTATTTCATTTTGTCATTTCTCTTCAGAGGGATACAAACATTGATTAAAAACAGACAACGGACTTGCAAGGTCTCTTTCAAGTTATTAAGTGTGATTTTAGGGAGATTTTAAAAATCATTTGCAATTTTCTCACTAAGGCCAATGTAATGTATTTAGACATTTGGTTTATCTCTGATACTGATTTAATCTCTTTTTTAGGTAAACACTAGTCTTTCAATTTGATATTTCAAACCTGGGGTTCTATTTAATAAAAAATTATCCCCAAGTTATCAAGCTCCTGAATAGATTTACTTATTAAATGTTCACAATTACATTTTCCATTCTAAGATTTAAAATCTGGCCAGGAACTTTATACCCAAATCTGAGGACCCTGAGGACTTTTTCCCCCCCTTTATCTCTTTTACTCAATTGTCCTCAAGTCCAGTTAATTCTACCTCTTAAATATCTCTATCATGAAGCCTTTCTTCTCCATCACTCTTTTTTTTTTTTTCTTTTTGGTTAAGGTGTGTTTCTTTTTCTTTTTTTTTAAACTAACATATAATTTATTATTTGTTTCTGTGATTCATCAGTCTTACACAATTCACAGTGCTCACCATCACGTCCTTTATGCTTAATGCTACTGCCCACATCAGGCCTGTATCATACCTGGCTTGAATATATTAAAAAATTCTTTAATGATGTCCACCTCATTCTGATCCTAATTCATATTCTGCCGCCAAAATAATTTTTCCAACAGATCTGATGTTTCTGTAACTGGCTAACTTTCTCTTTGCTTTATTATCTAAAGACAAAAAAATCTTTACATAGCAAACTTACGATACAGGATCTCACCCCATTCTGCCATTCACCATCTTGATTCATACTCCCATAATATTAAATCACTTTCCATTCCCAGATTATGTCTTAACTTCCTAAATTTGTTTCTTTTATTGATTCAACAAATATTATTAAAAACATAGGAATTCATTTTTGGACAAATAAATTTTCCTCTCTGATCAGATTTTTATCTAGATTCCCAACTAGATAAAATATTGTTTTAATACATTCATTATCTACCTTAATTCTCTCCTTCCTTTTACGTATTACTTGCTAACATTTGATTATTTTCCACTTACCCTCAACCCATTGGCTTCTGTTCTCCTCATGTTGTTGTAATTGTCCTGTGCAAGGTTAAGAACCCTCTCCTAGGTTCTAAACTCCAAGAGCAAACCCCAGCACAAACTCTAAGCTAAATGCCTTAGCTTGATGAAGTTTTCTGTGATGCCTTCCTCTGAACTTATATTCTTTGTTGTAACTCTGGTATTCTCTGGATGTGCTGTTCTTAAAGCTCATCACACATATTTTGAATGTTATCTTAAAATCAAGAGCAGAATGATGCTAGAGGTATCATTGCTCATGATTTCTCTGTTTTACCATTGGTTCAGTTACTGATAATAACTGGAAGTAATGTAAAATTCCAATATAGTAAGTAAAATCAGTTTGGATTGCGGAAAGAATACCGGAGTCAGGAGACCTGAGCTCTAATTGTAGTCTGTACCTTTACTGCACAAGAGAAGTTTTGTGATTTTCTTGAGGCACAGTATTATATATGAATTTTGATATATTCTGAATTGTTCTAATTTGTAAACAAAAAAGAATGGGTACCCAAAATGGTAAAAATGGATAAAAGAAAAGTAATGTTACCTACCATAGACTTTAAATGGGTACAAAAATCAAAAATGGTTGGAACAGCATCCATTTTAAGTCGTCGAGTTTGTCCTGTTAAGTCAAAACAGGAGGCTTCAAAGTGCTTTGAACAAAGAAAAGTGTGTTTTCCTGGCACAAAATTTTTGCGCCTAAGCAGGCGAATCCATTCTTTTCTTCTTTTAGGATCCAAAGGAAACCTTAAAAAAAAAAAAAAAAAAGAAAGAAAAGGCAACTCATATTCCAACAATTACACTTCTGGTTGCACCTTAATGGTTAAAAGAAATTTTAAAAGATGATGATTTAAAGTGTCTTCCATCTACATAAAAAATTATAATATCCAGACACTGGAACAAAAAGCAATTCATGCTATTTTTTATAAGTTGCAAAAAAATTAATGAAAAACTGACTTGAGTGTTTTTATTTTTCAGGGTTTTAAAGAGATCTTTCTTCTCAACCTGGTTCTTAACATGGGCAGTAAAAATAAACAAGACTACACTGATCTAGATCAAGGTTACGTAGAACCATTACAAGCACAAGTAATTCCCAGTGCTATGATCTGCTGATGTATGTACATGGTCAAGAAAACTCAAATATCTGCAGATTAAATTTTATCAAGGAAAGCCTAGACACAGTCTTGTATTCCTTCCTCTGTGTTCCTTCACTGCAACACTTAACACATTCTTTTATAATTTTTCCATTTTAATAAATTTCCAGTGAAATAAAAGTACAGTATAAGTTTCTTGAGGACAGGGGTCATTATATCATCTGTTTATCTTTAACACTTCGCACAGTGCCTTTCAAACAGTAGGGGCTCAACAAATATTTGCTTAATCGATATAAAAGTATATAAATTAACAACTCACTGTATTAATTCCATGTAAACTGCATATATTTTTAAAAAATGAACTCAAGGGGCGCCTGGGTGGCTCAGTGGGTTAAGGCCTCTGCCTTCAGCTCAGGTCATGATCCCAGGGTCCTGGGATTGAGACCCGCATTGGGCTCTCTGCTCAGCGGGGAGCCTGCTTCCCCCTCTCTCTCTGCCTGCCTCTCTGCCTACTTGTGATCTCTGTCAAATAAATAAATAAAATCTTAAAAAAAAATGAACTCGTTATGTAGTACACTAGAAAGCATAATTATTTCAAAAAGTAAAATGCTGCTGACAAGGCAAGCAGGAATGTTATTTCTTTCATATGTATTTTAAATACAAAATATACTGGTATGAACAAGTATATACCTGTTAAGGACGAGAAAAATAAAAGGGACTGCCCCAAAATTCTAGTGGTTAAGTCTGCTGACTTGAAAACATAAGAAATCAACATTCATAGGTATTAGAGTTGAGCTCTTCTTTAGTTTGATTACTTCATCCTTCACATATTATGAACTAAGATTTAAAAAGAACTATTCAAATCATGTTAAAAGATCACGTGGCTCTGAAACCCAAGTGAAGCTTTACTAGGTAACAACAGCTTTTGCTAGACTACGTATAGTAGGTTTGCTCAAATTACCAGTAGTGAGGGGCACAAATGAAAAACCAGATTAACTGGTAAGTAACCCCATTTCCTGTCCCTATTACCCTACCTAAACAAACCCTAATCTGAAAATAGTATATCTGTATGTCACTCTACAGTTCATGTTTTCATATATGTAAGTTTTTTCTATTTCACTAGAAACTTCTGATGGAGGATTTATTTACTCTGCCTAGCCCTTACTTGTTAATAATAATGTATTCTCATTTCAAAGATCTCTGTTCCAATATTTTTTTTTAAAGATTTTATTTATTTGACAGAGAGAGAGATCACAAGCAGAGAGAGAGAGAGAGAGAGAGAGAGAGAGAAAGGAGGAAGCAGGCTCCCTGTCTAGCAGAGAGCCCGATGCGGGACTCGGTCCCAGAACCCTGAGATCAGGACCTGAGCTGAAGGCAGAGGCTTAACCCACTGAGCCACCCAGGCAGCCCCTCTGTTCCAATATTTAATGGTTTGGAAATGTTTCCTGTGGCCTCAGCTAAAAGTCAAGCTTTTTACAAGCACATTTCTTGTTTGCGCCTCAATAAAGATGCAGAACAGAGAAGTATCATTGTCATCATCATTGTTATAAGAACCTTCAAATATGTGAAAACTGTCAGATACTGTTTCTCAACTTTTTAATTTTTTCTTTAAAGATTTTATTTATTTATTTGACAGACAGAGATCACAAGTAAGCACAGAGGCAGGCCGAGAGAGGGGGAAGCAGGCTCCCCGCCGAGCAGGGAGCCCGAAGTGGGGCTCGATCCGGAGACTCCAAGATCATGACCTGAGCTGAAGGCAGAGGCTTAACCCACTGAGCCACCCAGGCGCCCCAACTTTTTAATTTTTTTAGCTCTTTGTAGAAAACTTGTTTTTTTCCTTTGCAGAAACTTTTTTATTTTTTGGATTATTAATTTTTTATTTAATTAACAAAAATGTACTATTTGTTTCAGGGGTATAGGCCTCTGATTCTTCAGTCTTACACAATACCCAGCACTCACCACAACACATACCCTCCCCAATGTCTATTGAAAATTAATTTTTTTAAAGTAGGTTCCATGCCCAGTGTGGGGCTTGAACTTGACCCCAAAATCAAGAGTGGCATGTTCTTCCAATTGAGCCAGCCAGGTGTCCCTAGCTCTTTTTAAAACTAATTATGAAACCATTGCCTAATTGAACCTTAACGAGCCAATTTTCCTTGCTTATTTTAAGATTCAATTTAGGAATCCCATATTCCTAAGGAAATTCCATGGACTGGACTAGATGTTCCTATATCATATAGAATACCATTGTATTCTAATTGTTTACTTTTCTATTTCCACCCCTAGATCCTAAGTTTCTCCTGTGTAGGAGCTATGGTTTTCACTACTTTATCCTGTGAAGTAAGCTCTCAATGAACTTTCTCAGTGAATCAACGAATGAACAAACTAATGAGATTAGTTTGGCATTACTAATGTTTACCTGTGTTGAGATAGAATAAAAATAATCATTTTAGATTTGATTTGAAGCAATGCTTTTATACAGCATTTACCTTAATTTTTTCATGAGTTTGGATTTTTCTCAGCATATTCAATGGGTAAGTGATGTAGCCCATAAGCTGAATTTAAGTAATAATAAATCCTATAAATATTAAAAAATTAACATGGTGGTTAATTGATGGATTTGTCTACCAATAATAGAACCAAGTTTTCAGAAACATTAGATGTTTTGGAAAATCAGTGTTTAAAATAATGCTACTTTGCCTGAGTCTTTATTAATAGCTGAATGCCTTTTATATTCCAAGACTGTCCTAAGTGCAGAAGACATAGTGGTGAACAAAACTTACCTACCTTTATGCTTTAGGGTATCTACTTTTTACATGAGGATATATTGTAATGGGAAGGATAGAGAATCAAATGGCTTGGTGCAGTTAGAAAGGATGGCTGAGAACATTGTCTTTGGAGTCAAATCAAGGTGCCAGTCCTGGTTCCCTCAGTGTAATACCTGAGTGACATTAGGCAAACTGTTTAGCTTTTCTAGGGTTCAGTTTTATCAGTTATACAGTGGAGTAATAATTGTACCTAGTACAATTCCAGGGATTAAATGAGATAATGTAAGTAAATAATTCACCCAGTGCACAGTACACAGTAAATACTAAATAAAGGCTATTTATTAATATAAAAGTAATTACAGATGCCATGAGTGTTATCAAAGGGTTAAGTATAGGGTGGCAGGGAATCATAAAATAAGAAGAGCTAATCTAGTCAGGAGGTTTTGAGAGAGTAGGCATTAGATAGAGAAGGTAGGATTGGGGTGTCAAAGAGTGTTAAGGATCACGGGGACAGTGAAGAGTGTTATGACATGAAATGATGCTGGAGGGGCTTCTAAGTTAAAGAGTAATTTTGAACTCATCCAAAATGGCATCAGAAGGCCATTAAAAGGCCTAATTTAGAGAGCTGATTAACATAAAATTTTTTAACAAGCTGTTAAGCACAGCTATTATTAAAAATAATATACATTTGAAATGAAATGAAGACCAAAGATAATAAATACTGAAACCCATCATTTCTTAATTACTTTACTATTATCTATAGTCTGAAAATTATTTGTCTGTTTTGTGTGTGGTACTGCACATTTCTTCCTGATTGTATGATTAGTGATGTCATACTGATAGCTTGAAACTAGCCATGGTAGAGTATTTATATTGTGGAAATTGGGCAAATGCTACAGATCAGTGCTTTCCCCTTTCCCTGGAGATCCTGCTGTTAAACCTGTAAGAACATACCATTGATTATAGAAGAGAGGCTAGGAGTGCATCAATAGAAGCAGGGAATCCCTTCAGAGGCTGTTGTAATAATCCAATCAAGAGGAAATATGGGAGAGGCACCTGGGTGGCTCAGTGGGTTAAGCCTCTGCCTTCTGCTCAGGTCAAGATCTCAGGGTCCTGGAATCCAGCCCACATCTGGGCTCTCTGCTCAGCGGGAGCCTACTTTCCCTTCTCCCTCTGCCTGCCTCTCTGCCTACCTGTGATCTCTCTCTGTCAAATAAATGAATAAAATCTTAAAAAAAAAAAGAAGAGGGAATAGGGGAGAAGTCAAGGGAGGATGACCTCCCACTTTTGGGTGGATGATGTTTTCATTTACTGAAAAAGGTAATACAGGGGGTGGGGTGGTGGTAAGAGCAAATTCATTAATATAAAATTTTGATACGTTGAGCCTGAGCAACTGAAGAGAGACAAGGGAAATACTGAGACACCAACGAGTTAAACTGAGACCACAGGAACAGTTGAAATCATTTTGGCAAGAATAGTAAGACCTAAGTCAGAGGACTGAGAAGGGAAGAGGCTGGCAGAGAAAACTGAAGACAGGTCAAAGAAGATGAAAATCACAAAATTAGTGTCAAATAATTCAAAAGTAGAGAGTATTTCAAGGAGGAAATGAGGACATGCCATGAAAAGAAATACAAGAGTGATAACTCATAGCAACAGCAGTTTCAGAAGATTATTGGGGGATTTAGACTGGAGTGGGCTAAGAGATAAGAAAAATGGATAGTGAGTTTAGAGAACATAACTTGTACACAGGGATAAAGAAGTCTATCAACATCCTAGGAAAGAAATTAGTCAAACATTGTATTTATGAAATAGGAATGTAATTTATTATAATGTTAAGATCTAAGTTTCCATGAAAAGGTTAATTTCATAGGAGGCAAATGGTCAAGTATGCATGTTACTGTATCACTGTGTATCTCTTAAACATTCAAGATTATTGGTGCCTTCGACTCCTCCCTCTCCCTCATCTTCCATATCAAATGACCATACAGTAGTTTCTACTCAAACATTTCTTAAATCTGTTCACGTCTTTCTATCTCTGTCAGTATCACTCTAGTCCAGGTTACTCGTAGATGCTCCCTTGTTTTACTCTAAGTTCCAGTTTTTTCCCTACTAACTCTCACCTCTTCCAATCTAGTGCTGGTTGTGCCAGCAATGAAGTACATAGTTTAGCTTAGTTGACACTGTAGGAGAATTTCTCTGTGAAAGAATTAGTAGGTAAATTGTGTAATAAGCTCATTTTGAACACTTTAAGTAACACCATAATTCTCCACACTGCTGCCAGAAGGCTTAATATGAAAATCCAACCATGCCATTCTTTTAAAAACCTTTGTGTTTTCTCAAATACTCACTGGATAAAAGAGAAAATCAGTAAAGTAGCATACAGGACTAAATCTATGTCATCCTTTAGTATCATCTGAAATTTCCTTTTGAGAAATGTTCTTTGACTTTACAAGGCTATAGGTTAGGTATCCGAGGTGTCTCTTCTGTAGCACTTAACCATAATTATCCTTCTTTCTCACTACCTACTAAATTCAAGAAGTATAAGAATTTTCCGGGGGCTGGGGGTGGGAGGGCACCTGTGTGGCTCAGTCGGTTAGGCCCCCAACTCTTGATTTTGACTCAGGTCATGATCTCAGGGAAGTGAGTGGCCAGTGGCCACTAACAGCCAGTGGCCCTCCCCACTTGTTGGATAGGCTCAGTCGTCTTCTCCCTCTGCCCCTCCCCCGCTCCTGCGTGCTCGAGCTCTCTCAAATAAATCTTAAAAAAAAAAAAAAAAAATTTTCTGGATCGCTGGCACAACTTCAGGCAAATAAGAACCCTGTACACATTTGATGGATGAATGAATCTACATTTCCATGAAATACCTGAAAAACAAACATCACAAGGATTTTTTTTTTAAAGTAGCGGTTTTTAATAAGGGATCATTTAGTCATAATTAGGCAAGGAAATAGTTAAGGATATAATTTTTTTTCCCACATTCTAAGATCGTACGAAGTTGCGAGATATATAAAATCAGAACTATTTGCACATAGCTTTTTTTTTTTTTTTCAATGCTTCTTTTCTTCAGGCACAGGGCAGGCACTTGCACAGAAGGTAAACATTTACCGAGTACCTACTATATTTCATGCAGTGTTCACAATGTTTTCAAAAGTTCTGATTTGACAGAACTAAAGACTTTTGACTGCTCTTCTAACAAACGGAGGAAAAACAAAACCTAAGTTCTTTTCATTACTCTATTCTGGTAAGAACAGAAGGCTCATCTTTTGCACTTTCATTACCATCTCTTCATTCCATGGATATCAATGATGACTCAACTCCTCCGCAGTAACTGTATGTGACTATTAGAAATCTAAATGCTTCCCATGTCAATTTAGCTAATGAGAATTTCCTATTATTGATGGGAGCACAGCAGGCTTTTAAGGTGACTGCTGACTTGGAACAGGAAGGTTTCGCTTCCTTTTAAGGCATCATTCATGTCAAGACCCAGCCTAACACAAAAGAATAGAAAATTAAGATATTCTTTTACTTTTTCTCTAAGGAGTAACCACCATACAGAACTTGGATTTCTTTGACAAAGTGAATTAACTCTCCCCGAAGAAGAAAAAAATTGGACAGATTTGAGAAATACACACAAAGGGCAGAACTGATGCTTCCTTGCTACTGGCTAGGTAGTGAAGTCATTAGAATTAGTAGGATCCTCTTACTCCTTCCACACAAGCGACACCCAATCTAGGAACTCCCGTTTCCGTTACCACCACTCCCGCCCAGGTTACCTGTGGAAGCTGATGTTAATGTGCTTGTTGTAGGTAGTAGCACAGCCCGCCGCGGCGCAATTGGTCGGCATTTCCCTTTCCCCCTCATTCGGCGCTGCCTTAAGCCTGTTTTGAGGCGCTGGCTGCTACGCTTCCTTCGGGCAAACGCTAGGCAAGCGAGGCTGGGGACGGGCCCACCGAGAGGAGTCGTGAAAGCCGAGTGGGAAAAACGGGTTTGTGAATGGGGGGGGGGGGGGGGTGGGAGAGGAGGTGTCAGTCCTCCCTGTCTCTTTATTAATATGGCAGACTTCAGCCAGCAAAGCAGACAGTCCTGGAGCTCCGGTCGCCTACGTTTACCTTCACCAACATGGCGGACACAAGCCGCCTTCTCCCGCCTTCCAAAAAGGGAGTGGGACTACTGCGTCTCTTTGGCAGCGGTCTTCGGAGCAATGAAAAAAGTGTCTCTCCCCCACCCCTCCGTCACTATGAAACTCTTGCGGCCAAGATTAAAAATGGGACCGCCCACCCCGCCACGCACCCAGATATCCCAATCTGGAGTCGGGGGTGGGTGTGAGATACAGATTGGAACGACAAACCCGAACACAGAGGAAAAAAAGACTACAAGTCCCACTAAGCATCGCGTTGTCCTAATTATTATCGCGTGAACTGGACGTTTATTTCCTGCGTGCCGCAGGAAGTGACGTCACGGGCAGAGCCACTTCCAGAGGCCCTTTCTCGCGAGGCGGAAGAGCCCCGATCGCGGAGGAGCAAGGGGGCGCTAGGGAAGGGAACTGGGTTGCGACGGTCCGGCGAGAAAGAGCTGGGGTGCGGGGAAGTTGGGGAGCAAAGCCCGCTAGGTGTCCGAGTAGGGTAAGGCCGCACCGACCGGGTCCGTTAGAAAAGAAGGGAACCGGGGAGGAAAGCAATTGTCGGGCGGATCCCCGGACGGAGGGCTAAGGTTGTGGGGAAGGCGCTGCTCCCGGGATGGCGACCGCAGATATTTCGGCCCCGGCCTCCAGTGGCCTCTCGCCCAAGGAAGAAGGGGAGCTAGAAGATGGGGAAATCAGCGACGACGATAACAACAGCCAGATACGGAGCCGGAGCAGCAGCAGCAGCAGTGGCGGCGGGCTGTTGCCATATCCGCGGCGAAGGCCTCCTCACCCGGCCCGGGGCGGTGGATCTGGCGGAGGCGGTGGCTCCTCCTCGTCGTCGTCCTCTTCTCAGCAGCAGTTGAGGAATTTCTCACGCTCGCGGCACGCGTCGGAGCGGGGCCACCTCAGGGGACACAGCAGCTACCGACCCAAAGAGCCGTTCCGGTCTCACCCGCCCTCCGTACGGATGCCTTCGAGCTCACTGTCCGAAAGCAGCCCCCGGCCGTCCTTTTGGGAGCGGAGCCACATCGCCTTGGACCGTTTTCGCTTTCGAGGCAGGCCTTACCGGGGTGGAAGTCGCTGGAGTCGGGGGCGAGGAGGGGGTGAGCGAGGAGGCAAGCCGGGGGGCAGACCTCCTCTGGGAGGAGCAGGATCCGGATTCAGCAGCAGTCAGAGCTGGCGAGAGCCCTCTCCACCTCGGAAGAGTTGTATCCTTAACGTGGCGGTCCTCCCTGGGTGTGTCACTTACTAAAGTTCCCTTTAGCGTCATTATTAGGTCTATGAGATGAGTAACTTTTCTGAACCATCAGAACCGCTTATTTGTCACTGTGTCAGTATACTTTAAGTTGTTCTTTGGTAGTCTCCATGTGTCACAGTATATAGACCTGTTTCTTAAGGTTGTTTTTTTGGGTATATTGCTTTTTAACATTAAGGTATTATGGATTGGGGACAGGTTAGTGAGATCAGATTTGCAATTGTACATCGGAAACCCAGGTTTCAATAGTATTTACTTTCACCGGTACAAGAACTTTGTTTTTCTAAAAGGTTGACTTCGATTGTTAGAAGGAGAAAAAGGAATCATAAACGATTTGGGGAATACTGTTGCTTGTATTGAACTTTGACATTGAAAATTGTGAAGTTCCATTCTACGTAATGCTATAGTTTTTATTTGTGATTCTGCTTTTACCTTTCCTGATTAATTTTTACACATGCTGCCTTTTAAAGTGGGGGAGGGGAGAAAGACCCGTATCTTTACCAACTCTATTGAATTCATACAACCTTCTGCAAAACTTTACCTTCTTTATTTATGTTCAGTTTTGAACATTTTATAACTCAAATGTAGGTTAGAGAAAGATAAACACTATTTTAATATATTGAAAGCCATGGAGTGTCTGGAAGGGGGAGATTATGGGGAGGTTGAAAGGAAAATAGCAAAAATATCTGATTTTTGTTGTCTCTAATCCCATTATCTGTAATTCTTTTTTTTTTTTTTTAAAGATTTTATTTATTTATTTGACAAAGAGAGATCACAAGTAGACAGAGAGGCAGGCAGAGAGAGAGAGAGAGAGAGAGAGAGAGAGAAGCAGGCTCCCTGCCGAGCAGAGAGCCCGATGCGGGACTCGATCCCAGGACCCTGAGATCATGACCTGAGCCGAAGGCAGAGGCTTTAACCCACTGAGCCACCCAGGCGCCCCCCATTATCTGTAATTCTTAAGTTTACTTAAGATTTATACTGGGGAATCAGTCATCTGAAGGTTTGCTAGGTTGTGATGGGTTTTGTAGACCTAGGTTTTATTTCATGATAATTGCATAAAAATCATTATAAGTACAGTTATTATTGGTTGTAATTTCTATGGTGTATTGATTTTTTAACATATTATATATGAAACTTACATGTAATGACATTTGTTTGGAAGACATTCAACATTATTTTTATAGAATACTTAGGATCAAATGATCTTTTCCAGATGACGGAATAATAAATGGGCAAGAAATGTAAGTTTAGGTACAAAGTGGCAGTTTCTGGTGCTAGTGCCCTGAAAAAACTTAATTCTGCAACCAAAAGTTGGATTAGGAGCACCTAGTATTGTTTCAAAGAAAATCAAGTAGGGATTTAACTTTTAAAAAGATAAATGATGTTCTTTCAAAAAAAGAAGAACTCTGCCCAAGATATTTTTTTTAATGAAGGATTTGTTAGTTGTTGATTCTGATTCTAAAAAGAGGCTGCTTCACATATATATTTTTTAAGAATATAAAAGAGGAAGCTTAGAATTTGTGTTGGAGAGACAGATGTGAATAAATACAGTTTAATGTAATAAACATATAGTTTAATGTAAAAACTTCAAAATGAGATATGTAAAAAGTACTCTGGGAGTGCAGTTTTTTTCTTCATTTAATCTGTATTAGAGAAGGTGGTGATGAGGGAATTTGCTTAGCTCCTGCCTTTGCCTTCTTTCTGTCCATTCATTCAATACCAGTTTGGTCTTTGCCATATGTATATTTATTAATTGTTAAGCTTATATGTTCCTTTTAATAAACAGGCATATGATGTGAAAAAAGTACAGGGATATATCCAGTCCGATTTCCGTAGTAACTTAGCAGAAATGAGCTCTCTTGCTCTTTCTTTTCCATAGATGCTGCACTTAAGAAGAGGATGCTTGTTTTGATCCTCTGCTCATTGTTTTCCTTATGAAGTATCATTAATCCATCCTAGAGGTGGTATTCTTTGTAAGAATTTGTGAAGGAAAACATAGTTTTCAGCTACTCTTATATAATATGAGCAAACAAAATTTGTAATACAAAATTTTATTAATTTAAATTCCTTAATACCAAGACTGTATTCAGGCTTATTCGTATATCCACTGTGCACTTATAATAATGACAGTTTTATTTTATAAATAATTACTTTAAGAAAGAATAAGAGTTGTGGGGCACCTGGCTAGATGAGTCAGTAGAGGATGTGACTCTTGATCTTGGGGTTGTGAGTTCAAGCCTTATATTGGGGGTGGAGTTTAAAAAAAAAAAAAAAAGGTAAGAAAGAATAAGGGATATACTGTGGCTCATTTCCATAATCTAGAAGTGAAGTAACATGGGTAGTAGTTTTTGTTTGTTTTTTTGTTTTTGACTTATTTTTCTGTAATGATTAAGGTAAGCTAGGTGCAGCTTTAAAGAAATGAAATGAACCACTCAGGACACCTGGGTGGCTCAGTTGGTTAAGCTGCTGCCTTCTGCTCAGGTCATGATCCCAGGATCCAGGGATCCCCGCCCACATGGAGTCTTCTTGCTCAGTGGGGAGCCGGCGTCTCTCTCTGCCTCTGCCTGCCACTCTGCCTGCTTGTGCTTGCGCTCGCTCTCTGACAAATAAAATCTTAAAAAAAAAAAACACACACAAAAAAACAGATTCCAATGTGGCACTTATTTTCATTATCATTTAAAAATTTTCTTAGCGATAGACACTTTGTCAGTCCCTCTTAGCATATGTTTCCTTTGGTTGACCACTGTTTTAAAACTTTCTAATATGAGAGGTAACATAATTAGGCCAGTGTCTCTCATCAGTAGAAAGTCATTTTCACTTGCAGTTGGAAAGCGTTTTTTTTTTTTTTTTAAACCAGATTTCACTTAGAAATTGCATCTTAACTAGTTTAAAATTAAATCTTCTCTAAGTGTTGGTTTCATCCCAGTTGTCCTGTATTAGACAGAAGTAGGAGATCTTATTTAGCCTTGACAGAGATTAGTTACAGTTGTAACTCCGTTGCTTTTCCTCATTTTTCTGTCTTTTCTGTTAGTGTATTGAATCTTTTCTCTCTACAAATCTTCCCAAAGTCTTCAGTTTTATTTTTTTTAATCACTGTGGTTATGCCTTTGGATGGCTCCATTGAAAAGTGATGTGTAGATGAGGATAATTACAGAATTTATGTACAAAGTATATCTGGTGGGGGGAGCAAGTAATGCTCTGGCTTCAGATAGGAGGTTCATTTGAGTTTTAGATTGGGGTCAATTTGAAGAACAGAAAAACCTAAATACAAAGCTGTGCATAAATAGTGATGAACAGGGGAAATGTGAGATTGGAAAGGAAGTACAGGTGAAGGCATTGTATGCCATTGTTAAGTATTTCGGATTCTGTTCTTAATGAGATTTAAACAAGGGGACAGATCTGATCAGATTTGTCTTCTAGATACATTAGTTCAGCAGCAGAATAGGAGATGGCTTGTGGAAGATAAGACCCAGAATATCTATCATGAGGCCAAACTTCTCCTTGTATTACATAAAATACAGGAGTGCACTAGAATGCTCAAAAGGAAAAGTGAAAGAGGCTAAAATAGTGAGAACACCATTATTATAGGAGTTGGAAAGGAGTCATGAAGGCTTAAAGGAAGATA